ACAGAAAAAGCAATATACTAAATTATCTTTAAAAATTTGGCTGCAGACATTAAATGATCAGAAAACACTATGCTCATTTTCTGAAGGTATCCCATCCACCTTAATAAGCCTGCTGACAACCTAAGCAAAATGCTATTGTAGTAGATTAACAAGCTTACTTAGAAAGTAACTCTAGAACAGAGATAAACACTTTGAATAGAATTATGCAGATTCTTTATTAGTCAATAGGATAGTTCTCATTAAGAACAGGTTACTATTTAAATGATTTTCCTTTGTCTCCATTGGCTGTTGCTTCAAGAACTTTACAGTTGTTTCTAACACAGTGACAACATGTGGTACTAGGAGTTTAGTACCAAGGTTTGGAAGAGCAAATAATTTTTATCTTGCATGTTATCTACATTCCATTGGGAGCAGCTGTCTGAATCTCTCCACTGAGAAGGAGCCTGACTCTTATCCAGGAAGGCTCATTATAGAAAAAGGGCTGTGATTGATTAGCAATGTCTGCCACAGGGGCAGAAAGGAACACAGTGGCAGGATGACCCAGGACTAGTCTAAAATAAGCCAGAGTGAATCACTACTTTTCTGTGTTCTGACCTATATTGGCATAAAAGCAAGGGGTAAAAAAATTGGAGACATTAGCCTTTAAAATGTTCTTTCAAATTATATCAGGCTGAAAACATTACGTAAGAGTAAAATTGTGATTTCATTTAAGCTATGTTACTATTATATAAATTCCATTTAAACATGAGAAAATACAGTAATAATCATCCATATGTTACTGGAGCAGGGGCTTTAGAATTCCAGATGTAATAATCAGAAGAAATTAGTTTCCGGTCTTAAAAAAAAGAAAAAGAAATTAATTATAAGATTATTTTACCTTAGCAAAAATTCAAAGAGAGAACAAAGTCATGATTTTTTCAAATTGTGGAATGTAATCATTTCAAGGCAATGCTTTGAAATAGTCATTTTAATTCTTTCATTCTCGGAAATTTAACACTTTGTTTTTTAACCTTTTGGGTTTACTGAAGAATAATTACCCACATGATAGACATCAGATTTCATAATCATATTTTGGCACTAAAAGGGAATTTAGCAATTTTGCATCTAGAGTAGGTCTGACACTGTCCAAATCTTTCACTGGAAGTAGTTGCTCATTTTCACTGCAAACGCAAAGCATCTTTCAAGTTAAAAAATGCAAAGAATAGTTATCAAAGAAAATGAATAAAATCCATAGTGAGATAATTTTTTAGAAAATGATTGAAGTTTTAACCCAAGAAAGGACTCTTAGAGTGTCTTATAGCTTAGAATAAGAACATGTCAATCATGATTAAGCTTCTGGAATCGGAATCCCTTTGAAATGCAGCTGTTTCTTCTTTAATTGTGGCAGCGGACTCTGAAGAAAAGAAAGGTCCAGCCTTAAAGATGAGTAAGGAATACAAAATAGCTCAGGATTAGTTGTGGAGTTCAAAGGTCGCTAATTACACTAAGGAGTTCCCAGACACAGGGAAAACATTAAACAGGTCACCTACCAAACGGGAAACAGACTTTGTCTTCAGAAATTATCCTGAAGTGACAGGTTTCTAGACAAAATCAAAGGCATCACAGTGTGCCCAGCTGATCTCATTGGTATGAAAACCTGAGTAGGTTTAGTTCTGTGGCGTTATGTTAGAATAAAATGGCAACAGATGGCATCAGGTTCCCCATCATCTCATCACTTCTCCAGGACTCCCTAGATTTTCCTCAGGTTTCTAGAAATGTCAAATCAAAGATTCACTGGTTTTTCTAATTGTTTATAAACAAAATTTTGCCTAGGGGATTATTATATTAAATCTCTGCCTACTTACTAGATAAATGCCTCTTGCTTACCTTTGTGTATTTATTTGGTAAACATTTATACAATCAAGATTTCCAAAAAGCTGCATTAACATTAATATAACATATTAACTTAAGTGCAACATTAAGCTTTCTTTGAGTTTAAAAGAGAGATCAAATAACTTAAGGGGAATGATATTTTCTTCTTTCAAAAGGAAAGTTTTTACTACTGATTATCTATG